TCACTATTCTGCGATTTTTTATAGTGAAAAAAGGGATACCAAAATAGGTGAAAGAAAAGGTGCCAAGATCACAGCCAAAGAGCTATGTGTATTGGTACTCCACCTCCTTAGCCTCTCCAAAGCAATAAATTCTAATCAAGAAAAATGATTTTTGATTCTTATAATTGTTCAAAGCCACGTAGTATGGATTCAAATTTTTAGCACACTCAAGAGATAGATTTCGAAGAGGGGTTATATATTATGTAGATGGTTCTACTAGGACTAATGTGTATGAGGCAATTTTGAACATAATTATGTTAAGGATTTATTTTATACTTAAAGCCTAGCGCAGTGCCAAATAGAGCTTAAGCATGGTTAAATGATCATTTCAAGGTCATCGGGCTTAACATGCTTGTACCATTGGCTACTCAAGCACATATTGACCGAGGTCTGCCCCCGGTTGGATCATATTGTCCTTGGTCTAGACTGTGCCATTGGCTTATCTTGATCTATACCGTTCCCTACCGTCGCATGTTATCAATGAAGACAAAAACTAAGGAGTTAACTTTGTGGAGCCAAGCTCTAGCCCAGTTGGAGCACATTGTACTTGGTTTATATTGTGTCATGGGCTCATCTCCTCAAGCCATTAAGGTTTCACATGATCTATTTATCGTGCCCTACCACCGGATCCAATCAATGAAGACACCGAGGATTCAAATCCGTGGAGCAAGTAGCAGAGCTTCACAACAATACATTCAAAAGGAACTTAAACACCGTGCACAACTTCATAGTCACCAAACCTAACCTATGAAGGTCTGGTTTAGGAATCTATGGTGGATCAAAGCTCTTAAAATTGCCTCGAATTGTTCATGGTCGATCCAGCACATGAAGACCAGATTTCTAGTCAATGTCGTTCATTGCCACAACCACAACTAACTGCTACACTGAACCATTCGAGGCAATTTTAAGACCACATGTAGAATCAACCTCGATAAGAGGCATTTTGATGTTGAGGAAGCAAAGGCTACACGGAACTTGTTGGCTTCGATGAAGTGGTTCCTGAACGTCGCTGATGCATGTGTATCACCGTCATACATGGCCTTTGCAGTATTTTTTTCCTTAGCCTTCTTTTGTGTGGTTGTGGTTGTTGCAGACAATGCGGCAAAGACGACCCATTAGTGTGTGTTGCTGGCCATCGATGGTGTCACTACCTTGCTTGTGGTAGTGGCACGTAGGCTTGTAGTGGACAAGTCTAATCCGGTTAGCAGCAACAACATGAAAGTCATTATGGAGTTGGTGGTAACTCCTTGGCTCAAGGTCGACACGTGGATCGTCCATCTTCGGTGGGGAATGCATGTGGCCTTTAATCACTACAATTTTTTCTTCTTTTTCGAGGGAAAGGGGTGGCCCCCTGATTTTCGTTAAGAAAACCATCAGGTCTTTGCTAAACCACAAAAACATGCCCATCACCAGAGCTCAGGCTTGACGATCTAGACAATCCCAGACAACCATCTAAGACTCTAGAACCCAGCAAATACAAACAAACTATCTAGGAGACTACTGTTCTGCTGACAAAAGAACCTACTAACGCAACTAGATGAGGAGGTCTATTAGAAACTCCCTACAAACAACAATATTGTAGAAATAAAGGACTAGATTACTACATAATATAATAGTCTGAGTATTGAGAAGAACTGGTATAATTTTCCAGATCACGCAGCAAAGAAAGCATGACATCGTCGAAAGGAGAAAGGACCTCCAGCAACATCTTCTTCAGGCCCATCTTTTTCCTTCTCTTCTTTAGCCACTATTGATACTGAGCACACTTGGATGCCATCCTTTTGACACATGAAACACCTCACTTGCTACACGCTCTAGAAGCTTTATTCCCACCTCAACTCCCTTTGATTTTCCGCTTTATCTGCAAAATATACCATGTCTCTATAAGCCTACAAGATTTATAGAGAATCACAAGAGGATCAATCATCCTCTTGCATTCAAAACACATGTCATTTCTGCAAGTCCAAATAGACAGCATTAGAGCAAAAAACCCAACATATAGATTTTCCTTTTCCTAATTTTACCAAAGTGAAGGTAACCAAGAAGTGAACAACACATTCATGTTAGTATGAATTTGGGGCGGGTTAAAGGTGTTTTGGATCACACACCATAGAAATTTAGCAAAAGACTTTGCAAGAAAAGATGATCAACTGTTTCATCCTTTCCACAAAAAACACATTTAGAGTCCCCAGCCTGGCCATTTTAGTATGTTATCTTTAGTCGGCACACTATTCCTGACCATCAACCAAACAAACACTCTAATCTTGGGAGGTACATTAATTTTCCACACAAATTCGAAGGGAAAATTCACACTACTTAGTATCACTTGCTCATAGAGAGATTTGACAAAAAAATCACCTATTGGCATTTAAAACCAAGTAAGTTTATCTTTCTCTTTATTAGAGTCAGATCAGCACAGAGGGTTTTAATTTCATTCCACTATGTCAAAGTGCCCCCCCACAAGGTTCTCCTGAAATGGAACTGCTCCCAACCTTCGTTGATCACCTCAGCAAGTGTCATGTTTCTAGAGAAGCACAAATTGTAGAGTCTAGAATAAAATTGCTTGAGGGGTTTGTCATCAACCCACCAGTGTTCCCAAAACCTGACATTATGCCCATTACCACTTATTTTTAAATAAATTGGAAAAAGAAGTCTTTAATAGACAACAGTGCTTCCCAGAACTCGGAGTCTCTGGCTTCTAGTTTAACCCAGACAGACAGACATTTTGAAGTTTTTCATGTTTCAAGAGGTTTTGCCAAAGCTCTTCTTCAGTTTCTAGCTTCGACAACCATTTAGCAAGGATATAGCTCTGTTCATAATTTCCAGATTTAATAGACCCAGACCCACTTGTTTTTATGTTGGCAAACCTCTGACCATTTCATTAAATGATACTCTTTCTTATCTTTGTCCCCCGCCAGACAATTCTAGCTCTGAAGAAATCAACCCTTTTCCTCACACCAACAGGTATAGGCTAGAAGGACATCATAAATAGAGGAATACTAGTTAGAGAATCGTGCATGACATTGTATTTGTAAGAATACTCTTAATATTTTAAGAGTTGGTAGTTTAGAAAAAACCTGACAGTTGGGGCGCGTTGCTTTGACTTGTTGCATAGATCATAATTTACCTCCGTCCACAATATTTGACCCGAACTACCCCGGAATACCTAGCCCGCGCGTCACTCCCTCCCATGGGCGATACGGGT